GGCAGGAAGATAAAACTCAAAAACTATAGGAAACTATAGACTGAGAGGACCAAATGCAGAAACTCAGAAGTAGGAAACTTTAATAAAAAGTGAACTGTTTATTTGGCCAGTATTGGGGATATGAAAGGAAAAACATGAACTACTGAGGAAACTGGAAACGTCAAATTACAGAACTCTAAACGAGTCGCAAGAAGGAGTAAGCTGATATTTTGATGAGGGACAAAGGGAGACTGAGACAATATAAAGACAGCAGGGTGAATAGGGAAGTGGAAACAGTTGAGAACACAGCAGGGCCGACTCAGGAATAACATGACAGAGGAAGGAAAAGCAAGCATAACACACAGGAGAGATTGGCCACCAAAATAAAACAGGAAGCATAACCACTGAGGTAAAGACAAAGACACGTGAACTTGACAGACACAAAAGAACAAAACACAGGAGTCAAAGGTAACAGGAAGGGAAATAACTAAATGGAAAGATTAAATACAAGGGAATGACACAGGAGGAAGTGGACACAAAGCATGAGAAGAAACTTAACTAAACACTAAAACCAAAGCACTGGCAAAATCAGATGGGAAATACAGAATTCACACAGACAGAAAGGGAAACAAACACAGGCATGAGACAGACTACACAGAACACAGAGGGAGGCATGATAACAGAAACGAGAGAACACAAGAAACCTAAAAACTAGATAAACAAACGAAGACATTTTTCACAATTTCTTTCAGATTTTCACAGAACAAATAAAATATTTGAACAGAATTCAGTGAAATATGAATTTTACTCCTAAATTTTAATCTTTCTAGCACAGAATGAGGTGCAAATTGGAGATTTGATTTGACTGCTACTTACATATACAAATCTACTTCCACGTGCATCGACATATAATCAATAGCTACATAGCTATCACTAGAGGATCACAACTTGAATCGTTAATGTACAAAAAAGTACTCCGATCAAGGGTATAATGGCAGATTCTTTCCCAAGAGTTTAAAAATGAGCATAACTGGACTTTT